TGAAATTATATCCCGAGGTTCAAAGGGACTATCGGAAAGGAAGACATTCTTCAAAGCGTCGCCGATTCTCTGGCTGCTTCACAATACATGCCGTTGACGATCGATCACATCTCAGACATCAGACATCGTTGCATCGGTACTAGAAAATCCATCAAATCCTTCATTCACATAGAGGTATCCAGTCACAACCTTGGCACCCTCGGCGCTTACAACGGAACTGGTTCCGATTTATACCTTACAACTCTCACCTCCGTTACAACTATCTGACGAGACTACTATTTCCTATGTCTATTATGTATCGGAAACAAATACACAAGTACTGGGAGTGAAATAAGACAAAACTACGTTTTGTTGTTTTGTTCTCCTTGATGTCACTCACTCTCCTCACACGATTCGAATGGTTTGGCAATACATACAATGTAAATCTGATACGCGATGACATCGTGCAAAAGGATCATCGAAAAAAATTCGAACCAGCTTCGACTCCAACACAGACTTGGCTTCCATTTTCATAATAAAGAACTGGTTGCGCAAATCCTAGCACTGGTCATTTCGAGAAAATTCGAATGTTGTTTAAAAGATACTCCAAGTTCTAAGTGGGTACATGATACATCGGCGAAGAATTTATTGCTCTAGCGGAAATGAGCTGCACTGAGAGCGATTCCCGTTCGCAAATTCCCAGTCAACTACGAGGTAAGCTGCCTGACCATGTCTGGCGTACGACCCGTCGGTACAAACTCGATGTGCAGTCGAACAAGAAAGTGCGCATCGTGGGGAAGGAAGGGGACGCATGATCTGCAGGATGGGCGGTGGTCATTTTAGTGGTCAGGCAGTGCCAAGTAGATCACGCCGTGCCGGCGTGATTATCTTCCTGTAAGTCGGAGGGTGATTTTCGTGGATACTCTTGGTCTGTCTCGTCAGAACTGTCAGACAGGCGACACTACTGCCACTCTCGCCTGTTCCTCAACAAATATGTGTAGTGACAGTGACGAATGCTACTGCTATCATGACTGCTTGCAGTCGGCGGGCTGCAGACGCCTTGT